TTTCAAGCCAGTGCGATGCACGGGCAGTATCTAATTTAGCTAATTTGAAATATAATTTCTATCGGATCACATATAATGTGATTTAAAAGAAAAATAAACTTAGGTGTTGTTCTGTTCGTCTTATTCTTATTACTTATTGCTTATTCTTATTTTATTCAGATCAGATCAGATCAGATCAGATCAGATCAGAAAAATTCAGATCAGATCAGAAAGATTCAGATCAGATCAGAAAGATTCAGATCAGATCAGAAAGATTCAGATCAGATCAGACCAGATCAGAAGCATTCAGATCAGATCAGAAACATTCAGATCAGATCAGAAAAGTTCAAACATAATTTATCACTTTTATTATTATATTAAATATTAATTATTATTATTATTATTATTATTATTATTGTTATTACTATTATGATTATTATTATATAATTATTATTAATAATATTAATAATAATATGATAAAAAAAGATATTAATAGTAGTTATAATTTTTTAATATAATAATAGTAATATAAATGCAATTGTTAAGAAGACTATTATTATTATAACATTATAATAATAATCATATGATTAATATTATTATAATATTATATTATAATTATATGTAATTATAATTATAATTACAATTATAATTCTTATAATTATAAGTATAATCAATTGTAATTATTATAATTATATCTATAATTAATTATATTTATAATTGTAATTAATTATAATTATAATTACAATCATAATTATAATTATGATTATAATTATAATTATAATATAATATTATAATAATATAATACTAATTATAATAATAATCATATTATTATTATTATATTATTGTAATAATAATATTAATATAATAATATCGTTATAATAATATTAATTGTATTTATATTACTATTATTATATTATAATATTATATTTAATGTTAATATAATTATAATTATTATTAATTATAATTATAATAATTATAATTATACTTATAATTATATTATAATTATAATTTATGATTATAATTATTATTTTTATTATAATTAATATTACTATTATTATTACTATTGTAATTATTTTACGGAGTAATTATAATAATATTGATAACTATAGTTACAATTATAGAGATAAATATTGTAATTATAATTACAATTATAATTATAATTTTATTTGTAATTGCAATTATAATAATAATTATTATAATTATAATTATAATTATAATTATAATCATAGAAATATTCGAATCAGATCAGATCAGAAAGATTCAGATCAGATCAGAAGGATTCAGATCAGATCAGAAACATTCAGATCAGATCAGACCAGATCAGAAACATTCAGATCAGATCAGAAAGATTCAGATCAGATCAGATCAGATCAGAAAAATTCAGATCAGATCAGATCAGAACTTAAAAAATTCAGATCAGAAACATTCAGATCAGGCGAAGAGAACAGCTTCTTAGTCTAATATAAAGTCTGTTTGATAATACTAAAGTAAATAAAATTAACTTATTTTTGCTGAAATTGATTGAATTCTAGTTAAATTTGTGGAATATCCTGAATCATGAAAAATATATGTGAAATATATTCCATTTGTGAAACAAAGAAAAAAATATGAAAAAAAGTTAAATTGGTCTTCTACGTAAGCATCTCGAGTAAACACAATTGTTATGAACCCAATTATAAAAACAATTCTATATTTCTTAATTGTTAGATCTTACAGTTTACTCATTAATAAGAACATTTTTAATTGAATTAAACTTTCGGGTTTGATTTGGTATGAATTAATATGGTCTATTAGATGTCTGTTTTTTATGTGACTTATTGTTATAATTATTAAAGTTTGATCTGATCTGATTTAATTTGGAACTGAAATCAATCCAATTAAAAACATTCTACTAAAGTAAAAGTAGAAATTTGTTAACCTATCAAGATTTTCTAATTTGGATTAGGAATCTATTTCAAAAGTGAAGGCATATTTAAATTTTAGGTGTAAAATAAAGAAACAACCAAAAAAAATTACTTGTTTGGCTAGGCTACTAAACATATTTACTTGTGAAAATATATATACTTTATGTTGGTTATAATTTTTAATTTCATTTTTAATTATTTACTTATTTGAAGCTTACTAATTTATCAATAGGTGTCAAATTAATACTTAAACTAATTTGCATATTTGTTTCTATTCAATTCGGTTTAGTAAACTAATATAAATTAGTTTCCATATCAATAAACGTTATTAGAAGATCACTTTGATAACCAAAAATTATTTTACTTATTTGAAGCTTACCAAATTAATTAAGGTGGATTTCTAAGGATTTTTGTTTCCATATCAATATGCAATCAAAAATAGAATCTAATAAAAATAAAAGGTATAAAAATAAGTAAATAATTGTTATATATAATGACATGGCAGGATTATGTGGCGCTTTGTATGCTCATAAAAAGTTCCTCTTTTATATATATATTGATTTTTTATACGTGGTATTTTATTCATGGTATTGCTCTTTAAATTACAAAAACAGGTCTTTATATTTTGTTTAACTTTATTTTTAAAAAACAACTATCTTTAAAATATACTCGGGGATTAAAAACTAGACCAGAAAATTTCAATTCAATTAAAAACATTCTTATTGGTAGTATAATTATAAATTCATCTCTCCAAATAAATGGATTACTGTCAAATTCATAGTATAATATGAATTGTGTCTTCTTATAAATTAATAACTTCGTGATCATGTTTAAACTTGTATACTGTAATGGATATTTTCCAAAGGTGGATGCTCCATCTTTTAAAACTCGATCAACATCATTCTGATTTTGCAATAAGATCATCTATTTTATATTGATGATTGTATATGTAAATGATATTTAGGGTGTTTTTAATTGGACTAATTTCAATCAAGTTAGATTTAACCAAATTATACAAAACTAGATTTACAGAATCAATATATATATATATATAAGAGGAACTTTTTAAGAGCATATAAAGCGCCACGTAATCCTACCATGTCATTATATAAAACAATTATTTACTTATTTTTATACCTTTTGTTTTTATTAAATTCTATTTTTTATTGCATATTGATATGGAAACAAAAATCCTTAGAAATCCACCCTAATTAATTTTGTAAGCTTCAAATAAGTAAAATAATTTTTGGTTATCAAAGTGAAATTCCGTTTATTGATATGGAAACTAATTTATATTAGTTTACTAAAACGAATTAAATAGAAACAAATATGCAAATTAGTTTACTTAATAATTTGACACCTATTAATAAATTAGTAAGCTTCAAATAAGTAAATAATTAAAAATGAAATTAAAAATTATAACCAACATAAAGTATATATATTTTCACAAGTAATTACGTTTAGCCTAGCCAAATAAGTAAATTTTTTGGGTTGTTTCTTTATTTTACACCTAAAATTTAAATATGCCTTCACTTTTGAAATAGATTCCTAATACAAATTAGAAAATATTTATAGGTTTACAAATTCCTACTTTTATTTTATTAGAATGTTTTTAATTTGATTGATTTCGGTTCCAGATTAAATCAGATAAGATCAAACTTTAATAATTATAACAATAATTCACATAAAAAACAGACATCTAATAGACCATATTAATTCATACCAAATCAAACCCGAAATTTTAATTCAATTAAAAACATTCTTATTAATGAGTAAACTGTAAGATCTAACAATTAAGAAATATAGAATTTTTTTATTATTGCGTTCATAACAATTATGTTTACTTGAGATGTTTATGTAGAAGACCAATTTAAGTTTTTTTTCATATATTTTTTTCTTTGTTTCACAAATGGAATATATTTCACATATATTTTTCATGATTCAGGAGATTCCACCTATTTAACCAGAATTCAATCAATTTCAGCAAAATAAGTTAATTCTATTTACTTTAGTATTATCAAACAGACTCTATATTAGACTAAGTTTATTTTTCTTTTAATCACATTATATTTGATCCGATAGAAACTGTATTTCAAATTAGCTAAATTACATACTGTCCGTGCATCGCACAGGCTTGAAAGCTAGTAGTAAAATATAGGTAATGGAAAATAATGTGACTTATGACACCGCCTCCATTCTCTAATAAGTGTCTTGTATCCCTTTTTGGATGTTTTTTATTATATTAGGGAAAACTGTCAATTTGGTCCTCGTATTTTAATGAAAAAGTCAATTATGTCCTCATACTTTTAAAAAGATCAATCAAGTCTCTGAACTTTGTAAAAATGTTCAATTGAGTCCATTTGCAGGTTACTTGCCATGTCAGCAGGTCGCCCATTGACGTGGGGCGCATGTGGCAGCTCAATCAGCAATAATTTTGCTGACGTGGTGTAACACCGTCCCCAAATACATTTACTTTTATGTAAATAATGTATTGAACCTTATTAAATGATTAATGAATTTACGAAGTTGTAAATTTTTATCATTTCTTTCGCGTGAATAGTAAATTGCACGTGGGACCCACACCGGGAGCGGGGGCCGCCCGACTGTCCCGAGACCATATATTTTATTCATCTTGGTCTAGATAATAAATATATAGTGGTGTATATTTCATTTGGGCCATGGAAAGGCCCGGAGTTGACCGATTGGTCAAAAGAAGCCCAAATTACCGGTACTGGTAATTTATCAGATAACAGCCCGAACTGAATTTCGGAGGCTTATAAATTAAAGTTGGGGGATGTATATTCATTATACATGTAATAATGAGTAAGAGCACACAATATATTTTATTTGACCCGATAAAATAAAATATATTTAAAACAGTCCGAAAAATACAACTTTCGGGACCGATTGTACACATCGGGACACAAAGGGATGACCTCCCACATGAGTGGGGGCCATCCCACGTTTTATTCAGCTCAAATGTGACCCTTGGGGGCTACAAAGACAAGGGAAGGTGGGAGGAGGGTCAACCATGAGGTAGGATGGGACCCTTTCCCCACATAATTGGTGAGATGAGCCAAAAAGGCCATCCTATCACCCCCTCACCCCATTAGCTCGACCAGGCCACCCAAGGGAGAGAAGAAGAGCTTCCAAACTCACCTCCATTGCTGCAAATTCGAGCTCAAGCTCTAGTGGTCCAAGGAGGAGGATTTAAGAAGGCAAAAGTTAGGAAAAGTGTGAATAATTAAGGTAATGACCTTATTATAACTTCTCCTTTATTTTTCTTCCACCATATGAAGTATATATCATATGAAGAACCTTTAGTATGGTTCCATATGTTATAAGTATGGATTCATGGGTTGGAAGGTGGTTCTACGTCCAAAAACGGACTTAGAAGCCAAAATGACCGGTTCACCGGAAAATAACCTTTTAGAGGTTATTTGTATTAATATGAGTTTTATGATTATAAAACCTTGTTAGGCACTTGTAAAGGGTATTTCAAGTGATTTCACAAAGTTGGAAAAGTCGCCGGAATTGTCGCCGGAGTTGACCAAAAGTCGTCGGAGTTTCACCGGAGTTCAACCAAGAAGGGTAGAACTTCTTAACGCTAGTTCAAGGTGAGTGGACGGCTTAATATCTTATAACTTTTGGGTCAATTATGAGATTACCTAAATAAATGTTATATGTGTTCATAATGATGTTCAAAAGATATTTAAACATGTGATTAGCTAACATAGTTAAGTGCGTATGAAAAGAATAATTGTTTATGCATGAAATATGATATGAGAAATTATATATAATGCATATTTGCTTTAAGAGTAAAAGAAGCACAAATGGATATTATTAACTTAATTATATGATGAATTAGTTAATAAGTGTAAGACTTGAGATGGCGGTCAACAACAACGTTGACCGATGGTTAATGGATTAATTAATATCGGTTGATATTAGTTAATTATACATTTATATGGTTGCATGGATTTGCATGGATTGTGATACATAAGTTTTATGTAGTGAATTAGTTATGAATGACTAAATATGATATAGACCCTATCTAGCGTGATATGTGGTAAGTCATAGGTCGGGTGGAGTACCCAAGGATCGGGCGGTTATCCTCAAAACTCGGTTATATAGGGTGGAGTACCCAAGGATCGGGCGGTTATCCTTAAAACTCGGTTATATAGGGTGGAGTACCCAAGGATCGGGCGGTTATCCTTAAAACTCGGTTATATAGGGTGGAGTACCCAAGGATCGGGCGGTTATCCTCAAAACTCGGTTATATAGGGTGGAGTACCCAAGGATCGGGCGGTTATCCTCAAAACTCATAGATTACATCTAATGATCTAGGACCGGGCGGTGTCCTTATGATAATTTATTTGAACAAGGAGGAGTTCTATACACTCATAGGTATATGGGTGGGTTGGGATTTAAGTCAAGGATATTGGCTACTATTATTTTCCCAAATAAACAATGACCTACGGGTCGGGTATTTCCAAGTGTATGTATACTAATATGTATTTCAAACTTGGGGGAAGGACTATACGTATATGTATCATCCTATGTTTGGGTCTTATACTTGAAACGCTAGTTATTCTATATTTAGCCTGCTACTCGCTCGGTACTTGTACTGACCCCTTCGGGGGGCCCCACCATTTTCAGGTTGAAGCTAGGGCTTGCTACCTGCACCTTTCTACGGGTGACATCAAATTAAGGAAGACGTGGTTCGTGCTTCCTCGTTTTATTTCAATTTACCAAACATTGCTCATGGATATTTTTATTTGTTATAAACTATTCTTTTGGGGCTTGCATGCCCATGTTATTGGCCGGTTGTGGCTTATGACTTACCGTTGAATATTTCCGCTATTCATTGGTTTAAATGTGATGTTGTTATGTATGTTTACTACTGAGTATGGATGGATTATTTTTCTCGAACGCCTTGTGTAATCAAGTGAGGTTGACTCGCGGGTGACGTCACTTGATTATACGGCGGTTGTACACGCGCTTGGATTGCGGTCTGGGGCGTGACAATTAAGTGGTATCAGAGCCATCTCAGTTCTAAACTATATAATCAACCTCTCACATGAGATTTTACAAAAGAGTTTTTACCGAAAACCATGAGCATTGTATTTTGACGTTTATGGGACTATTGGAGCTTAAGTTGCAAGGCCTCTAATTGTTAAGACGGTACCCTTAACAATTGGTATGGTGGTGACTTGGGCCAATACGTGTCTGTAGCGTTCTTCCGTCAATTGACATTCACATTTATAGGAGTCTAATGACTCATCCATATCTCTTTCAGAAATGGAGGGCAGGCGAATGCGGACCAGGAACAATCCGAGGGGGCAGGCGCCGGTAACATCCCAAAGGGGAAGCCGGGCTGCATCTCGGGGTTCAAGAGGAGGCCGTGGAGGCCGTGGAAGCCGTGGAGGTCATCAAGCTCAAACTGTGAGTGATGGCCATGTAAGCTCGGTGTATGAAACCAACACCGAGGACTATGACTCAACCTACGTTCCAGAAACGGAGCATGAGGAGACCCCGTATGATGGGGGGGACACATACACCGATGACGACGATGAGAGTGATGCCCGATTCGCCCAAATGGGTGAATTACTTGAGTGGTATCAAAAGGAGAAACTGAGGAGAGACCTTAGGCGCCAAGCGAGGCGTGGCTCTCGTGGTGGTTCGGGTCAAGGAAGCCGGGGAGCTTCCGTGGCCACCCCAGCGGCGCCACAAGGTGGGCATGAAGGAGGTTTCGTGGTAAGAATCTCCAAATACCTCAAGGAGGCTAGGGCCTTGGGGTGTAGGTCCTTCGACGGAACCGGCGATATTACCGTTGCCGCCGATTGGATTAAGAAGGTGAAGGATGCATCGAGAGACATGCAGATTACTCCGGACGTGAAGCTAACTGTCGCTTCACGGCTACTTGAGGGGATGGCTTCTACATGGTGGGAAGGTGTAGAAGGGAAATACCGTGGGGACATCTCATGGGAAAATTTTGAGCAAGAATTTTATGCCCAATACTACTCCGATTTCGAGGTTAATGTAAAAAGGAGGGAGTATACCAACCTCAAGCAGAAAGAGGGTTGCACGGTTAAGCAACTGGAGCAAGAGTTTAGAACCTTGGCTAGGTTCTTACCGGAGTATGCGATCGATGAGGACCGCATGACTGAGCACTTCTGGGATGCCCTACTCTTGGACATCCGAGATCGTGCCACGTATTCCCGCCTCATGACCTTTAGTGAGGTGGTAGAGCAGGGCATGCTTGGAGAGGCCCAGTGGAATGAGAGGAAGGCAAGGGACGCCGAAGAGGCGAAGAAGAGGAAGTGGAATAATTCGGGGCCACCCGATCATTCTCGAAGGAACAACCACGGGGGTGGTGGTGGTGGCGGTGGTTCATTCAAGGCGCCGGCTCCACTGGCAAAGAAGAACAGGGATGCGAGGTGGCACGGACCTAGGCCACAGAACTCGGGGCCACCTAGGTGTCCAAATTGCTCAAAACAACACTTTGGGAAGTGCAATGAACCACCGAGGTGTTTTAAGTGCGGGAATGCGGGCCATATGAAGGCCAATTGCCCTCAATTGATGCAAGAGAGTGCCTCGGGAGCCGGGGGAGGGACCATGACGGGAAGAAACCGTGCGGGACCGTCAAACGGCGGTACGGGAAGAGGCGGTGCATCCACAAGCCATGCCGCATCTGTCAACCAAGGTGGGACCCAAGCACGAGTCTACGCGATGACCGAGGCGGATGCACGGGCAAACCCGGACTCCGTCGCAGGTAATACACTTATTTTGGGCATTTCTAGGCTTACTTTGATCATATACGTCGTTGGGATTGAGTGCGGGCCATCCCGGGGTCAAACCGGGCAAGTTAGGCCAAAACAGATGGAACACGGCCACTGCCGGCCAGGCACGCCCGCAGGCACGCCGTGCGTGGCACCGTGCCTGGGAGGCAGTGGCGCCCCAAAGGAAAATCGGCCAGGCACGGCCGCAGGCACGCCGTGCGTGGCACCGTGCCTGGAAGGCAGTGTCGCCTCGAAGAAATTTGGCCAGGCACGGCCGCAGGCACGCCGTGCCTGGCACCGTGCCTGGGAGGCAGTGGGGCGCAGGAAGAATTCGTTGCACGCACGGCCGTGCGTGCCACCTAGGCACGCCGTGCGTGGACCCCCAACCCCCGAAAATTTATTTTTTCGTCCCGTTCTTCTACGTTTGGACCCCCGTTTGATTCCAAACCTTAGTATTAACTTAATATCCTCTTAAAGATGGGTAAAAACATTAGAAAATGTATCTTACATGGTGTATAAATGTAGGAACATTAAAGATCAATGGTAGGTGTGCGAGGATCCTCATCGATACCGGGGCACAACGCTCATTTGTGAGTGAGGCGTTCGCCGAGGGCCTTGACGTGCCATTGACACCTATGACGCAAACGTTGCTAGTCTCCACACCGTTAGGAGACGACGTGGAGAGAAATCATTACTATCCATCATGTGAGGTAGAGGTGACGGGTCAACCCTTGACTTGTGATTTCGTACCTCTAAGCATGTTGGAGTTCGATGCAATACTAGGAATGGATTGGCTTGAGAAGCACCATGCTCGAGTAGATTGCTACACCAAGGTGTTGGAGCTCGAGGATGATCAAGGAAACACGCTATGTTTCGAAGGAGATCGGGGGAAATCAATTGCCTGTCTCATATCCGTGATGAGGGCACGGAAGATAATGAGGAAGGGATGCCACGCGTACCTTGCCTACGTGGTGGACGATACCAAGAAGGAAGTCGACATCAAAGATGTACGGGTCCTGTGCAAGTACCCGGATGTCTTTCCCAAAGACCTACCGGGGCTTCCACCCGATAGAGAGATTGAATTTGTAATTGAAGTGGAGCCGGGAACCAAACCCATTTCGATTCCTCCGTATCGAATGGCACCGGCCGAACTTCAAGAGTTGAAGGTCCAACTACAAGAATTATTGGACAACGGATTCATCAGACCCAGTCATTCACTGTGGGGGGCACCCGTACTCTTCGTGAAGAAGAAGGATGGTACACTAAGAATGTGTATTGACTACCGACAATTGAACAAGGTCACAATCAAGAACAGGTATCCCTTACCGAGGATTGATGACTTGTTTGACCAACTTCGGGGGGCAATAGTGTTCTCGAAGATTGATTTGAGGTCGGGGTATCATCAGTTGAAGATCAAGGAGAGCGACATACCTAAGAGTGCATTCCGCACTAGGTATGGTCATTACGAGTTCCTTGTAATGTCATTCGGGTTAACCAACGCACCGGCGGCATTCATGGACTTGATGAACCGAGTGTTTAGTGAATACTTGGATCAATTTGTGATAGTATTCATTGATGACATCTTGATATACTCCAAGAACGAGGAGGAGCATGAACATCACCTGAGGCTTGTACTTGAACGACTTAGAGAAAAACAACTCTTTGCCAAGTTCTCCAAATGTGAATTTTGGCTCAAAGAGATTGGCTTTCTCGGGCATGTCATATCAGGTTTGTCACGCCCCAGACCGCAATCCAAGCGCGTGTACAACCGCCGTATAATCAAGTGACGTCACCCGCGAGTCAACCTCACTTGATTACACAAGGCGTTCGAGAGAAATAATCCATCCATACTCAGCAGTAAACATACATAACAACATCACATTTAAACCAATGAATAGCGGAAGTATTCAACGGTAGTCATAAGCCACAACCGGCCAATAACATGGGCATGCAAGCCCCAAAAGAATAGTTTATGACAAATAAAAATATCCATGAGCAGTGTTTGGTAATTTGAAATGAAATGAGGAAGCACGAACCACGTCTTCCTTGATTTAATGTCACCCGTAGAAAGGTGCAGGTAGCAAGCCCTAGCTTCAACCTGAAAATGGTGGGGCCCCCCGAAGGGGTCAGTACAAGTACCGAGCGAGTAGCAGGCTAAATATAGAATAACTAGCGTTTCAAGTATAAGACCCAAACATAGGATGATACATATACGTATAGTCTTTCCCCCAAGTTTGAAATACATATTAGTATACATACACTTGGAAATACCCGACCCGTAGGTCATTGTTTATTTGGGAAAATAATAGTAGCCAATATCCTTGACTTAAATCCCAACCCACCCATATACCTATGAGTGTATAGAACTCCTCCTTGTTCAAATAAATTATCATGAGGACACCGCCCGGTCCTAGATCATTAAATGTAATCTATGAGTTTTGAGGATACACGCCCGATCCTTGGGTACTCCACCCTATAATTGAGTTTTGAGGATAACCGCCCGATCCTTGGGTACTCCACCCTATATAACCGAGTTTTGAGGATAACCGCCCGATCCTTGGGTACTCCACCCTATATAACCGAGTTTTGAGGATAACCGCCCGATCCTTGGGTACTCCACCCTATATAACCGAGTTTTGAGGATAACCGCCCGATCCTTGGGTACTCCACCCTATATAACCGAGTTTTGAGGATAACCGCCCGATCCTTGGGTACTCCACCCTATATAACCGAGTTTTGAGGATAACCGCCCGATCCTTGGGTACTCCACCCGACCTATGACTTACCACATATCACACTAGATAGGGTCTATATCATATTTAGCCATTCATAACTAATTCAATACATAAAACTTATGTATCACATTCCATGCAAAGCCATGCAATTATGTAAATGCACAATTAATTAATATCGACCGGTATTAATTAATCCATTATCCACCGGTCAACGTGGTCGTTGACCGCCATTACAAACCTTGTGCAAATCAACTTGATCATCACATAATTAAGTTAAAATATTCATTTGTGCTTCTAATACACTTCAAGCAAATATGCATTCTATATAATTCTTCATATCATATTCTATGCATAAACAATCTATTTCTTTCATACAAACTTAACCCTATTGGCTAATCACATGTTTAAATATCTTTTAAACATCGTTATGAATTCATATAACATTTATTTAGGTAATCTTATAATTAACCCAAAAGTTATAAGATATTAAGCCGTCCACTCACCTTGAACTAGCGTATGAAGTTCTACCCCTCTTGGTTGAACTCCGGTGAAACTCCGGCGACTTTCGGTCAACTCCGGCGACAACTCCGGCGACTTTTCCAACTTTGTGAAATCACTTGAAATACCTTTCACAAGTTCCTAACAAGGTTTTATAATCATAAAACCCATATTAATACAAATAACCTCAAAAAGGTTATTTTCCGGTGAACCGGTCGTTTTGGCTTCTAAGTCCGTTCTTGGATATGGAATCACTTTCCAACCCATTAATCCATACTTATAACATGTAGAACCCTCTTAAGGATCCTTCACATGATATATATCTCATATGGTAGGAGAATAATAAAGAAAAAGTTATAATAAGGTCATTACCTTAATTCTACACACCTTTCTTAGCCTTTTTCCTTCTTTAAACTCCCTCTTTTTCCTTGTTTGAGTTTGAGCTCGTGTTCACCTATGGAAAATGGAGTTGCAGAGCTTCCTCTCTCTTCTCCTTTGGGTCTTGGCCGAGTGTGATAGGGGTGGGTGAGTGAGGGGTGTGGTTTTTGTCTCCTTTGGACAAATGAGTGTAGGAATGGGGTCTACTAAATGTCAAAGGGTGTCTCCCCCATCCTATCAATGTTTATTCAGCCCATCTAGCACTCATCCAGCCCCTAAAGGTTGACAAATTCGTGGGGTGGCCCCCACTCATGTGGGAGGTCATCCCTTTGTGTCCCGATGTGTACAATCGGTCCCGAAAGTTGTATTTTTCGGACTGTTTTAAACATATTTTATTCTATCGGGTCAAATAAAATATATTATGGGCTCTTACTCATTATGACATGTATCATGAATATACATTCCCCAACTTTAATTTATAAGTCTCCGAAATCCAGTTCGGCTGTTATCTGTTAAATTACCAGTACCGGTAATTTGGGCTTCTTTTGACCAATCGGTCAACTCCGGGCCTTTCCACGACCCAAATAAAATATCCACCACTATATAAATATTATCTTGACCAAGATGAATAAAATATGTGGTCTCGGGAGTATCGGGCGGCCCCCGCTCCCGGTGTGGGTCCCACGTGCAATTTACTATTCACGCGAAAGAAATAATAAAAATTTACAACTTCGTAAATTCATTAATCCCTTTAATAAGGTTCAATACATTATTTACATAAAAGTAAATATATTTGGGGACGGTGTTACAAGTTCACCCCCCCTTATTTGGGATTTCGTCCCCGAAATCCGTGTGTCTAATCGAAAAGAAACGGGTATTGCTCCCTCATTGAGACCTCGGTCTCCCATGTTTCTTCTTCGACCCGATCACTCCTCCAAAGA